CTGCCGAAGTTCCAGGATGGGAGCAAGGTAAATCGTGTTGGTTGTTATCCCAGAGCCCCAAGAGAGAAGGGAGCAGCTCTGACACCTCCCTCCTTGCCCATCGCCACTCTGCCAGGAATGGTGGGGCTCAGCAGCCATGATGGGGTGCTGGAAATCCTTCTCCTTTCCCTTGACACATCAAATGGGAGTGGAGGGGCCAATAGGGTTTCTAAAAGCCTCAGGCCATATCAAATGGACAGATCTGTGTGGGTGCCATGAGGTCCTGGAGCTGACTTAAAAAGGGGTAGCCAAGGGAAGCAGCCAGATCTGGCACTGATGAGCATTACGATGCTCCACCAGCTGCTTTCTGTCTGAGTTGAGGGTAGGAGGCACAGTCTCCTCGCTGTAGATGGAGAGCTGCCAGTTCAACCTGCATCGCACCAGCAGCAGGCTTGTCCTCATGTCTTGGCCCCATGGCGGGGGGGTTCCTATCCCATAGACCTGCCCCAAGGCCAAGCACGAGGCCACTCTGTCACCACCACGCTTTTTTTGGGGGGCAGATCACTTTCCACTTCCAGACACTGAAGGACAACTTTGAGCGGACGGTGATCGATGACAGCCGGGAGGCCGGCATGCCCATGGAGATCATCGTGGGCAAGATGTTCAAGATTGAGATCTGGGAGACACTGCTCTGCTCCATGAGGACGGGGGAGGTTGCGGAGTTCTGGTGCGATGCCATCGTGAGTGAGGGGTCCAGGGGTACAATGAGTGCCATCTGCATCCCGCAATGGGCTGTGCAGCCCGAAGACGTGTGGCATTGCCTTGGCCTCCATCCCTTTGCAGCACACAGGGATGTACGCCCTGGTCTCCAAGGGCATGCGGAGGATCGCGGAGGGCCGGGACCCCCTGGAAGGGCAGAAGCACCGCTGCGGCATGGGCAACATGTTTGACTACCACAGCACGGGTTACGATGACCTGGATGAACTGCAGCGGACACCTCAGCCCCTCATCTTCGTCATGGAGCTGTTCCGGGTAAGGGGAGGGCAGGGTGATGGGGAACGGACGGGGAAGGGGCTCAGTGCCCACTGCCCACACAGGTGGAGGAGCCCTCAGCCTACAAACGTGACACCTGGGCCATGAGCAAGGAGGAGAAGCTGGCGGCCGTGCCTGTGCTGCACAGCGAGGGGAACCGCCTCGTCCTCCAAAAGGACTTCCAGCGCGCAGCCGAGAAGTACCAGGAGGCTGTCATCTGCCTGAGGAACCTCCAGGCCAAGGTGGGCCACCTCCCGCCATCCCTGCTGGCCCTTCCTTGGGCAATTAGTCCCCCATAAGGGGATGAGCACCTCCATGATGCCCCATTGGGTAGGAGAAGCCATGGGAGGAAGGCTGGCTGAAGCTGGAGAGCCTGGTCACACCGCTGGTGCTCAACTACTGCCAGTGTCAACTGGAGCTGGGAGAGTACTACGAGGTGCTGGAGCACACCACGGAGCTGCTCCAGAAACACAACGGTACCCCTATGCCCTGAGTACCCCACAGTGTGCTCGTGGCCCCTGGGACTTGCCCTACAGCTCACATATGCCTGGTGCCCACAGCAGTGCCCCTGTCCTCTGGATCCCATGGTGTCCCATTTCAGCCAGGTTCCCTCATCCACAATGACACCTGCACCCACGTCCCCTGATCCCCCAGCCCACCACAGTGCTCTCCAAACGTTCCTTATGTCCCTTACCCACAGAGGTACCCCCATGACCAGTTTCTCCTTCCTCCTGGTCCCCAGCTCCCCGAGGTACCCTTACCCACAGGAGCATCCACACCACCTCCCCACACCCGTGTTGGTACCTGGGTTCCTGGGGGCTCCAATGACCCCACTGGCCCCATCCCACAGACAATGCCAAGGCCTATTTCAAGCGGGCGAAGGCGCACGCGGCTGTGTGGAACGAGCGAGAGGCGCGGGAGGATTTCCTACGCGTGGCCCACCTCGACCCCGCCATGGCGGCCGCCGTCAAGAAGGAGCTGAAGCTGCTGGGGGAGAGGATGAGGAAGAAGCACGTGGAGGATCGGAAACGTTATCAGGGGCTCTTCCAGCAGCCCCGGGGGGGGAGGGCTGGCATGGGTGGGAAGCAGCAGGAGGAGGTTGGAGGAGGGGAGCAGGGCGTGGGAATGGGAGAAGACGGGGTTGGTGAAGGAGAACGAGGAATGGCTGGGGATGGATGTGGAAAGGAAGCATGGGGAAGAGGAACAGCCCGAGGGGAGGCTGAAGTGGTGGGAAATGGGGTGGGACAGGGTGGGGAAGTAAAGCTGGGTGTCTGTAAGGCAGAGCTGGAGAGCTGTGGGGAAGAGAGAGGGGTGGAGGGATGGGAGGAGGAGGAGGTAGTAGAGGAGGAGGAAGGAAAAGTAATGGTGGAGGAGGAGGGAAAAGAGATAGTGGAGAAGGAAGAAGAAGTGGTTAAAGAGGCAGAGGAGGAGGAAAAGGAGAAGACAATGGAGGAGGAACAAAAAGGGAAGAAAGAGGCAGTGGAAGAGGAGGAGGAGAGGGAGGAGACAGTGGAGAGGGAAGAAGACACGGGGGAGGAGAAGGAGGAAAGGAAGGAGAGAGAGAAGGGGGAAGAAGAGATGGGGAAGGTGCAGGAGGAGAAGGAGGAAAGGAAGGAGGCAGTAGAGGGGGAAGAAGAGGTGGGGAATGTGGAGGAGGAGGATGGGGTAGAAGAAGTGGAGGCAGTGGTGGAGAAACAAGAAGGGAAGAAAGAGACGGTGGAAGAGACAGTGGAGAAGGAAGAAGAGAAGGAGAAAGTAGAAGAGGAGAACTCAGCAGCAGAGATGGAAAAGCTGGCTGAAGGGCAATGTGAGGAATCAGACAAAGGAGAGCTCATGCTGGGGAAGGAAGCTGGTGGGGCTAACAGAACTGGAGCAAAGAGCGTGGCTGGGGAGGAGTCAGGCAGAGCTGCAGAGCAGGCACCTGCATATCTGGACCAGGGGACATTCCAGGGGGAGCTGGGGAAGGGCAGCTGTGGGGGACAGCAAGCAGACAACCTCCCCTCCACCAACATAACCAATGGGGCAGTGCTTCAGGCTGGGCCATTGGGTGCAGATGAGGAGCTGGATGGGGGAACAGAAACGCCCCCCCACCTCACACCAGTTGAGGAAAGGGGTGGTGCAACCTCAGGACTGGGGGCACCTCTAGAACAGTGCAGGGAGAGCAAAGAGCCTGAGGCCCCTGCAATGGGGCACAGGCAGGCCTGAGTGGGGATGGCTGCTGCTGAATGGGGGACAGGGTGCAAGGCTGCCCATGGGAGGCAAAGCAGGGGCAGAGGGACTGCAGTGCTGCCAGGATCCCATTTCCCACAGACTGGGGACATTGCAGTGACACAGAAACAATGCTGTTCTTCCACTGGGCCTGGCAGCTCCTGCTGCCTCCCCTGCCCCAGATCACCACTCAGCCTCCAGCCAGGTCCTGCTGAGCTCTGTTGGCTGAGAAATAAAGTCTCTTCCCTGGCACCGTGTGCTGGATCTGTTCCTGGACATTCCTGGCGTCCCTGATCACAGCCCCCAGCTCCTGCCATGCACTGAAGCCTGCAGCACAGGGGTGGGAGGGAAGGTACTTTAAACTCCTTTCAGGGCTGCAGCTCTGATGTGAGAGCTGCCCCAACACTCCCCTGCCACAACCTGGCACCATCAACCCATACGCATCAGCCTTCCACCATTGGTCAAGGCTGTGTGTTGGGATGGAGGTCTCAGAGCCCTGGGTTGGCCCGCAGCTGGGACTTCACTATGGACACTGGACATGGGATAGAAAACCAGGGAGAGAAGCTGCAGCCTGAAAAGGCAGAGGGAGAGGACTGCCCACCAAGGGTCCCTGCTGTCACCTCCCCCTCTCTGGTACCATCCTTGCACAGCCAGCGTCCCAGCTGCTGCATGGCCCCAGACTTGCTGGAAGAGGATGCATGCAGACGGTGGGCAGGGGATGCAGCTGCAGCCAGGTTGCCCGCGGCTCTGCTCACAGTTTCTGCTCTGCCCCGGCGGTGACACTGAGCAGAGGGATGTCCTTGGCCCTGCAGGAAGGCCTGTTCCAGGATGGCACAGCACCAGGCGTTGCTCTGGCTCTGGGGGTACAGCGGAAAACAGCATGGAAAGAAGAGGCCGGCAAGCACACCGGAGGCTCAGTATAAATACAAATTTATTCTCTTTCCAGAGCAGAGCAGCCAGGACAGCAGTACGTGGTTATCAGAGCGTCAGCCTGCCCGCATTCCTCCCTGCTGCCCTCAGCACAGCCCAAAACCTGCACCCACAGCCCACAGGGCAGGCACACAGCTCCCTACAGTGAGGATCTGCACCAGTTTGCCATAATTCCGCCTTTCTCTTTTTATGGGGACGCCCTGATCTTGTGCAGTAGCCATACTCCAAGGGTGCCATATACCTGTTGCCATGTCAGCATCCCTCCCTGGGGCACTGCAAGCAACTCTCACCTTGTGCTACGGCCAACCCAACACCTCCATCCTCTCCCCAGGACAGCGACCCACAGACCATTGGGATGCTGGCACCGCGTGCCACCCATCAGGCCCACACCTCCCCCATTGCTTCACGCCTTTGCCAAAGTGCCAACCCCACAGCACGCAGCTCCCTGCTCCCCAGCATGCTGCCTTGGTCCAACAGCCCTCCTCAAACACAGCACATCCAGCACAGCCAAAGCCCCATCCCTGCAGCACGCAGAGATGCACAAACACACAGCCTTCCCTGCACCCTGGCGTGCCCAAAGGCTGCTCCTTTCTATCCATTCCAACCCTCTCCCACTGCGGGGCACCCACAGCACCTGACTCTGCAGCTTTCTCGACATAACACAGCCCCTGATCCTACATCACAGCCCAGCATCCTGGCAGCCCCCAGGATGCTCCCCGGGACAGCAGGTGGGACAGAGCCCTGCTGCCAGCCTGGCCCCCCAAGCTGCCTCCATATCATCTCACCAAGACAGGGAAGGGTCCCTGCAGGAGCAGGAGTTGGGCTGGACCGAGAGCGAAGTGCAACTACACTCAGTGTTAGGGTTTAATGGCATGAGTCCGTGAGAGTATTTAAGTACAGAATATATATATAATATATAGAAATATATGCAAATTAAATGATAAGGCTCTGTTATAAAGATCCTCCCGAGATAAGGCTACTAGTTGGGCTGAAGCTCTGGTGTGGGCTCGTCCCTACCCCACAAACCCAGCACCTCTCAGAGTCCCATCCACAAGGCCGGCAGTCGGCTGCTGTTACAGAGTTGGCTCAGCCCCTGGGAGGCTGCTCGGTGGCTGCAGGAGCGTTATGGTGCCCATCACCCTAAAGGGCAGAACCAGAGAGGAGCAGGGTGCTGAGCTCTGTGTGCCGTGCAGCTCTTCCTTCTGAGCCTCTCTGCGAGCAGTGCTGTGACCCCACAGCCCCGATGTTCCCCTGAGATCTCCTGCAGCTCATGAGCATGGGGAGAGGAGGGGGCGAAGCAGCTGGGCAGTGGTTAGGCAAAGCCTCTGGAGGTGTTAGATAAGGGAGGTCATACCTGCAAGAGAGATGGGAAGGGAGGAGGTGTTAGAAGGTGGGGGTGGGACGGGGCAGCACTGCCCTGTGGCGTGTTAATGCTGGCACCAAGCAGCATCTCCTTGCTGTATGCATGGGCATTCAGCGGGCGGTCACAAAGCAGCCCCACCCCCATCCCAACCCCAAACCATCCCTGCTGGAAGAGCTATCCTTGCGCAGCCACAAGAGCTCATACTGCTGCTGTTCCTCTCCTGAAGGCGGTCACCGCAGCCTCGCTGCCATCACTCTGTCCATCCGCAGCACAGAGCCCATAGGGCAGAAAGGAGCCAACACCTCTGCCCAGCGTGCGGCTCCGAGTGCTGTCCTCGCAGGTGGGAGGGCTCCTCCTCATCCTCTCTGTGCTTGTGGCAGTGGGGGATCGGTCGATGCGGGGAGGGTGGGATCGGGGCAGGGCTCCGCAGGGGAAAAAAACCTCATCTGATGGAGCAGTAGGACGCCAGCGAGGGGGATTTCACCCGAGTACCTCGAGAGTTGGGGAAGGCGCTGCGCAGCTTCTCCATGATGTCCTCCAGGCACACGCTGACTTCTTGTGTTTTGGCTTCCACCTCATCTGCTGAGGGAAAAGGCCGGGCTGAGCGGTGCGTGCATTTTGCAGCCATCAGCCAGGGAGCTCCAAACCTCACCTGCTGCTTCGGTGTCAGGGGTGTCGTGCTCCTTATCCCTCGCCTGGCCGCCTTCAGACTGATGTGGAGATGAAGCCAAGGAAGATGCTGCTGAACCATTGCCATTTGACTCTGCTGGAGGCTGGAGGGAGAAGGGCTCATCGCAAACCTCATTCCATCCTCGTCCCGCACCTTATGCCCACCCCGAGCCCTGCTCTGTACCTGCAGCAGCAGCTCCCTCAGCCGGTGCAGCTGGGACTCCAGTTGCTTGTTGTGATCCTCAAGGATCTGCATGCGGGTCTCCAGGCGGCTCTTGTGCTGCCGGAGGATCCGAGCCTCTGCCAGGAGCTCCTCGTTGCGTGGGTCCTGCACCAATTCGGGGGAGCTCGTAGCCAAGGTTGGGGATTCCACTGCCTCATCGTGCTGCCACTTCAAACGCCTCAGCTCTCCCTGGAGGATCCTGCAAGGCAGCCCAGGTCAATCCCACCACTCTCCTTTCTGGAGGATGATGCAGAGATTGAGCCGCCCGGAGGCTTTGCCTGCAGCTCCACTTCATTGGGATGGCAGGCAATAGGCACCCAGCTGCTTCCTAGAGGCTCAGAGCAGAGGGAGGGAAAGCAAAGCCCTCCTGCTGTGCTCGGCTGTGATCCAGCAGCATCTCCACCATCCACCAGGAGCTCAGAGAGGAGAGAGGCAGCTGTGGCCAGGGCCCACTTGAAACAATTCAAGAGGAGTACTTGGGTTTCAAGAGGGGGAACACATTCTAAGGTAGGGCAGGAACCTTTTGAGGAACAGAATCTTGGAGAACACCAAGACCTCACCGAGTTCAGTGCTCCCCAAAGGCTTTAGGACTCATCCTCCAAACCATACCCCACACTTTGGGCCAAGCTGGGTTTCTCCAAGCCCTCGCCTTAGACTCAAGCCCCTGCTTGAAGAGCTGCCCGTGTCCCCAACCTGTTTTCATCCTCCAGGTGGGCCAGGATGCGCTCCAGCTCCCCCTTATCATCCATGGGCAGGCTGCCTGGGACCTGCTGGCTGCCCGCAGGCTCCCGGTCCGTGATGGGGCTGGAGTGACGCAGCAAGTATTGGTCCTCATCCCTGTTGCAGCAAGTGGAGGAAAAGTGGTGAGGAACATTGGAGCTTAGAAGTGGCTGCAAGACCCCTGGATAGGTGGGGGTGCCCTAGGAAGGTGGGGATGGAGCCACAGAAGCATGGAGAGGAGGCAGAACTTACAAGCTGTCATCAGGGGATAGGCTGTCACTGAAGAAGGAACAGTTCTGGTTTTCCATCTCTGCAAGCCTGGAGGAAATAGAAGTGGCTTGAGACAGCTGGAATGTCAGCTGAATGCACTCTAATTGCAGCAGTCCCTGGAAGATCTCTCTCTGTCCCCAGCAGCAAAGCCACTGCCAAGAGCTGACACACAGCATTCAGGGAAGCATCTGCCCCCCAAACTCCCACCCCACTGCAGCCACACTCTGTGCCACAGCAGTGCTGGTACCTGCTGGCAAAGTGCTCAATCCGAGAGTGCGTGTCAGCGTGAGGCAACATCGGGGAGGAGGCTGGTCTGGAAGGAAAGAACACAGCAGTCAGCAAGACTCGTGGTCCTTGCTCACAGCCAGGGCTTGGAGGGGCTGCCCTCCTGCAATAGCTTAGGGCTGGGCCAGTGCTGAAACAAACTGCCTCCATCCCTGGGCAGCATCCCCACATCAACCCTTGGCCAGCTCCCTTTATCCTTGGCCATCCACCTCCACCCATCCTTGGGCAGCACTCCTCCATCCCATAGCCTCCAAGCAGCATTCCTGGAGATGCCACCTCCCTTCCTTGGTGACACAGCCACCAGCACACTCACGTCTCAGAGAAGTCAGCCTCCAGCACGGACTGCACAGGCAGGTACCCCCTCTGTGGGTGCTTGCTGAAGTACTGCTTGGACCGAAACTTGTTCTTCAGCGTGGTGGCAAAGTCCCTCATGTTCTCACTGGAGGTGGTCTGCGGAGAGAAGAACGTGGCTGAGGTGCTGGTTGGCATCCTCAGGTAGGAAATGCCCTTTGGGATGGGCGTAAACCCAGTGGAGGCAGAGATAGGTCTGGAAGTGAGGAGGACACAGCCCTCAGAAGGCACGGAGGGGCAAAATCAAGCAAGGCAGACATTGTTGGGACAGCATCAGCCTAAGCATTGCCACTTGTGGCAGCCCAGCCCCATACCGGGGTGTAGTACTCCATGATGGGGTAGTGCAACTTGTTGCCCTTGCTGGCTCGCCCAGTGAGGAAGCAGGTCTGGCAAATATCCACGTTGAACTGCTTCAGGCTGCGGTACCTGCAGAGATCGGGAGGTTGGAGGGAGAAGTGGAGGCAGAGGAGCTGCTGTGACCCATGAGGTACCCGTGAGGTTCCAAACTTACACCCCAGCCCCTACCTGAAGCCCTTGATGGGGCACTGCCGGCACACAGAGCACTTGGTCTGGTGCTTCACCTGCTCTGCCATGGTGACGCGGTGCAGCACGGCCAACCACACCATAGACTGAGGCTCCAGGTTGGCCCACTCCAGAAACTGGGCTGCCTCGATGGCAGGTTTCCCATGGCTCTGGGGAAGGGATGGGAGGAGATGCTCAGGGCTGGAGCCACCCACCGTAGGGCACCGACGGACAGACGGACACCACAGCACTCACGAATCGGAAGCAGCTGCGGATGCTGGGCTCCACGTTGCTGCCCCCAAACGCTGCCACCTCACCCAGCTGCCGTGGCACCTGGATGGCCTCGTGCAGCAGCACACCCAGATGCCTCTGGTCACACAGCCCGCCTGCGTTTGCCACTTGGCTGAAGAGGTCTGCAAAGGGACAGAGAGGGGACAGCCCTGTGAGATGCATGGCTGGCAGCTGGGCTCTACTACAATCAGGAGGAAAAGAACCCATTGTTGATTAAGTAACTTCATCAGCTCCCAATAACCAGTAGCTGAGAGACCTCTTGAGTCATCGCTCCTTGATTTAACCCATTGGTGATCACATCCTTCCAGTGTCCCACTGCGGTACCACAGTTGAAATGCAGCAAAAGAGCTCACATTGACATCAACACATCTGCCTGGCCATGCACCCTGAGCTTATCCCTTAAGAAGCACCGAATAACTGCTGTCCCGTGGCATTCTCTACACTGCTCCATGCAAGCAGGACCCACGCTGCACCCATAGCTGTGCAAAAACACCTTCTAATTTGGGTGGCGTAGGTGTGGGAGGGAGTGAGGGGAGGTGATGCAGGCAGCTTAGTCACTGCACAAAAGCTGCTTCTCTGCTCTTTTTGGGAAGCGAATGGCTAAGCCAGAAAGTCAAAGCACTCCCACTTCCCCCAGCTTGCCAAGGAACTCACACTGAAACTTCTCCTTGACCTCTGTCCCACACAGACATGCAATGCCCGTCTTGAAGGAGAGAGCCCTCATCTTCCCACTGCGGCCACTGCAAAGTGAGATATAACACAGGTGGATTTTTGGGCAGAGGGGTCAGCAAGGCAAACCCGCACCAGCCAGCCCCATCCTGACCAGCTGGGGCCATTTTGCAGCTCCCAAGCACAGCAGCCCCAGCAATGGGGGGATGCCTCAGGGCTGGTACCTGTCGAAGACGTTGAGCAGCCAGTTGAGGCTCATGTCCACGCAGAGCGGCACGTTCACCAGGATGCCCCGCTCCTCCTCCAGCCTCTCGTAGAGGGAGGTCAGGCAGTGGATGACCTCCACCACGTCCATCACGCGGTCGCTGGGCTGCAGGTCGTGCTCGTTGAAGATTTCCAGGGCCGTGGCCAAGGTCACCATGTCCACTGAGCAGAGAGAGCACAGGCAGAGGGATCAGAGATGGGGGGGAAAATGACTTGGATGGGAACTGAGAGCAAGGAGACAGAGCTCTGCTGCAGTAGGGAAGAACATGGACGGCATGGGCACAGCTCCTGGAATGGCTCTCTCATTGTGAACCCCACCCCAGATACTCACCAGCCTCTCAAGCCACTTTCTGTGTCATTTTCCTTCCCTGCTGCCATGGCTAAAAGCAGCAGTCCCCTCAGGTACTGGCATGGGAGGGCAAAGTTCGAGGTGTCCTGGAGCCAATGTGCCATTTCCACATTATAACACGGTGTGGGAAGTTCTCCCTTCTCCTGACCCATCTGGTGGTTGCACCAGGGATCCCAAATTCACAGATATGGCTTTGCAGCATCCCTAGCCCTGTTCAGCACTCACTGCCCTGACAGTCCCATCACCCACCTCCTTGCCCTTCTCAAGTGGATATTGAAAGAGATCACATCACTTCTGGAACAAGGAGATACAAACAGCCAGAACTGATCAAGGAGCACAGGAAAGGGCTCTTTATCCCTTTGCTCTCTGATCCCTTTGACTCACACCCTAGCCCCAAGGCAGACATCCTGCTGTGACTTTGCTCAGCTTCCCAGCCTTGGGCTCATCTCCCAGCACATTCCTGGTGGGCTCCTGCCTCTGACAAGAGGCTGTGCTCATTGAATGCCTCTTCCAAGGAGATCCACCAGCAGGGAAATCCTACTCACATCGCAGGGCTTTTTGCACCCGCCGCAGCTTCATAGCTGTCCGATAGGCTGAGAACTTGATGTTGTTCAAATCCGCTGCAGTAACACAGGAAAGAAGACAAAAAACACAACTAAATATCCTTGTCTACAGGGCAGGAAGCAGCAGCTGCTCTCAGACACGATGCCCACCCAGCACAAGCCTGGCTCAGCCTCACACCCCGTTGCATTTAGGGCTGAGGGCATCTCACATTGTTCCACATGCAGAGACAAGGGGTTTTGGGGACAGGCTCCTCACCCAGCGTCTGGTACAGCTCTGTCATCTTTGGGTGGTCCCAGCACGTGGTCTGTGCCTGGTGGCTGGAAGCACAGAAGGAAGCCAAGGTGTCAGGCTGGGAATCAAGCACCCAGAGACAAGGAAGTGACCATGGGATGATGTCCCCTGCGCTGGTGCCACAGGCTGCACCCCCAGGACACAGCAGAATAGGGGATGCCCAGGGGGTTGTACCCATCACTGGGGCACGGCTCTGCTGGTCTCAGCTGGAGCTCAGTGCCTCCCCCAGCCCACCCCCAGCTCCCGTTGCTGCCACAGAGCACACTCACTTGATGTAGTATGGCACTTTGTTGGGGGAAATGGCTCGCTCCCAGGGAACCTGAACAGAGGCTGCAAGGAGAGAGGAGCAGAGGTCAGGCCAGAGCTGGGAGCTCCCTGGGGTCAGCGCTGCTGACGGTGGGTGCTCCCCAACCCCCCATCCTCAGGTGCTGGCAGAGGTTAAGACACTGCCCATGAGAGACCTCAGGAAGATGAGGGCTCATCCCATGCTCATCCCACCCTAGAGGAAAGAAGCCTTTCTGTGACCCTCAGCCCTCCCACCACATCTTATCAGGCATCTTATCAGTTCTGGCAGCTGAAAATATCATCCTTCCTTCCTCCCAGCTTGGAGAATGAGGGCTGTAGAGGCACCAAGTCTCCATTGAGACTTGTCAGCCCCACAGGGCTCAGCGTTGCTGCTGCCTCCTGCACCGGGTACAAGATTTATGAGGTGTGCTGCCTCAGCTTTCGGGAGCACTGTGCCCAAGGACCTGCACCCCGTGCTGCTGTACCCCAGCTCAGCCACTGGGACCTGCCCACATACAGGAGAGGAAGTGCTGGGAGCCCGGCCCGAAGTCCCGGTGGGCATCTTGGAGCTGCTTCAGGCGTTCGTTGATGGAGGCCTGCAGGATGGACAGAGGAGTGTGATGGCACCCGTTGGGCATTTGGGATGGCACCCCCATTTGGAAAGTTGATGGATGGACCCAGATGTGCTCCAAATCATCTTCCTCACTTGGATTTCACATTGCTCAGCCTTCAACCTCCTCCCACAGGCTGCGGAAGTACAACCCAAATCTCCATCCCACCCTTATGCATATTTTCACAGATATCAATGCAATCAGAGCAGCTAATGACCCCCATCAGATCCCACCTCGCCTCACGTCACCTGCAGCTGCTTCCAACGTGTGTTGATCTGCTCCAGGGTGCGAGAGTTCTCCATGGACAGGTGCACATCGGAGATGGCGAGCTGGTGTGCAAGGTCATTGACCACCTTCACCCCATCCTTCATGGGAGAGAGCTCCTCTTTGAAGAGCTGCGGCACCACATCCAGGTACAAGGCAGGGAAGGAAGGAGAACCAAGATGTCAATACCCAGATGTGATCCTTCTGCTCCAAGCTGGGAGTCAGCTGGGTTCAGCTGGCTGCTGCCCAACCCTCCTGCAGACCAAAGCCGGATCCTTCTCAGAGCCACAAGTACCTTGGTCGACTGGATGTGCTCTGGCAAGGAATCGATGAAGAGGTCCCCGATGGGTTCCCAGGTTTCACGCACGCTCTCAGCCTGATCCAGCGCTGTGCTGAGCTCCTCCATGGCCCCTTTGATCTCCAGCAGCTGCTCCAACGTCCGCTCGATGTGCCGGTGCTGGTCCACGCAGCGGGCTGTCAGCTTCTCCCACAGCTCACTGGCCACGTTTGCCTGCTTCCAGACGAAGCGGCTGATGTTCTGGATGCGGTGCCGGGGAGACACATCTGAAAAATCAAAGCAGGTAAGGCACACAAAGGGCAAAAATGAGAGCTGAGGACAAAAGCACAGCTCTATTTTCTACCAAAGAATCAGACAAAGATGATGTGCTGCAGCAAGAGGCAGAGCAATCTGTGTCACACCAGCCACCCCCCTCCAATCCCACAGTCCAGCCCCAGAAGGGCCATAGGAGAATGAGGAACGAGGGCTCCACAGACCTTTGCTTTCTGAAGTTGGCTCTTCCAGTTCCTCAAATGGATGCTGAGAGAGGAAAGCCTGCGCTGACTCTAAGACAGAGTAAATGTACGGCCCCCGGGACTTCACCTCTTCCATGAAAGCCTGGAGAGGAGAGCAGGGCACGAAGGAGATGACAGGCTGAGCTGGAGAATTACATCCTGCTGCCCTTTGGCTGAGGGCTGCAGTGATTTATTCATCCAGTGCCCACATGGGCCACCTGCAGAGATTCCTCAGTGACATCAGGGCCACTGGTGCAGATGCATGCCCTCAGCCCGGGTTGGTACACGGGGACGTACCGCGTGCGTCTCCTTCTCCTGCTGCACCAGGAGCACATCGCCACGCAGGGGCAGCTGTGCCGACAGCTCCTCATCCTTCTGGCCCAGCCAGTCGATGATCTCCTGGAGGGGCACCTGCAGCTTCCCACTGTGGTCGGAGAACGCCTCCAGACGAGCCCTGGAGGAGGGCAGTGACAGCGTGGGGTCACCAGGACAGGGCTGTGGCCCCACAGAACTCCCAGCTATGGGGACGCTGTGTCTGCAGGTGGGTGGGAGGTGCTGGGCAAAGGATGCTCTGCAGACACCCCGTGCATTGCAGCTGGCAACAGAGCACCCAGGACTGTGCTCTGGGCAGCGCAGGGGGCTTGGCTCTGGGTCTACACAGCTGAGCAGCTTCCAGGAGTCAGCAATGAAGCAAGAGGCGATTAACACGCCCCAGTTAAGCTCTCTGTCCTGCTGGCTGGAAGCTGCAGCCTCTGAAGGTTGAGCTCATGTGGGTAATGAGCTCGGAAAGCTCCCAATGAGCACAAGCAGCCCACGGGGCTGGCCAGAGGTCTTACCGAAGGCTGTGAGATTTCTTTTTGATCTCGTTCCAACAAAGATTCATCTCCAGAGGGGCCTGCGGCCCAGCAGCGCTGTCAGGAACCCGGGGGGTTACACACGAAGGTCCTGTGCCATCCTGAGAGCCTTTAACCTGTGCAGAAACGGAGCTGGCTGGGATGTGATGCCCAGAGGGAGCTGCCAGCACTCACAGCACCACACCCAGTGCCAGAAATGTGGGACTGCACCACTGCTTCTCCCCTACACCTCCCCAGAACCACCAGTGGCACAAGAGCTGCTCCAATGGGAGCAAATAGCAGCAGAATCTGCCCCGGTTGTGCACAGAGCTCCATCAGCAGCACAGCTGGAAAATGGGTGCTGTGCATCCTCAGTGAGTGAGCAATTCTACCCTAAGCCCCCACCACTGCCTCACACCCATTTCCTCTAACAGTGGCAATGAAGGCATCGTTGTGCTCGCTGACCATACCAACAGGGGCTGGCAGGACCAAGAGCATCTCATGGGACTTGGGTGAGCAAGGCTAGGGATTTCCTTTCCAAAGAAGCATGCGGTGTGTACACACACACACACACTACATTGCTACAAGCAAGGTGTCAATGTACTTTGTGCACAGCATTCACTCTCATGCTACTTTGCTACCAGAACTCATTTGGGGGCTAATTATCCGCAGGTGACTAATCAACCACAATAAACTGCGTTAGCACTTCCTAAACAGCCCATGCAACAGGCAAGCTTCTCCAGAGAAGGCAGCAGTGTTTCCAAAGGGAAGGTGTTGGTACTCCTTGCCTTGACAATGGGCTGCTGGAGTGCTCCAGAGCAGCAAGCTGGGAGAGCCACCAGCCCCAGAGCTTGGCCAAGCAGTGCCCACTGTGTGCTGGCTCTCATGGAGGAGCCAAACCCAGCTCTGCTAAGTTTGCTCCTTCCAAGGGCATCTAACGCCGGTTTGCAGGCTGCTCCCCCGCCCTGCTGCTCCAGGAGCACTGAGAAAAGAGAGAAACCTGTCGCCCACAGAGCTCACTGCGATCTTGGGGCCATACATAATGAATCACTTGAGCTAAAACTGCTGCTCACACATGGGGAAAAATAAACACAAACCAACAGTCTGCCTGCGCAGCTCCTCCTGTTGCCAAAGTGAGTTGCCACTCAGGGATGCCAAAGCAGGAGAGCAGCTCTACCTGTATGCAGTGCAGCTTAGCAGCAACCACAGCCCTTCCAGCCCAGGTGTTCAAAGCCCACAGCACACTGACTACAACCTGTAGATCAGTCAGTAGTAGTGGCCAGGCATGGGCCACCTACCCCCCTAGGACGACCCCTTGCAAGCAGGCAGAGGGCAGAATCATTACCATCTACCCGAGCATCCCCTGAGCACCCCTTCCCCAGGTCTGCAGCAGCCTGGGCCCACATCCCCCTCCACCCCATAGCAGGATTCTTCCCAGGACTCACGCAGGCTCTGGTGATGTCTCCTGCCTGCTCGGGGTGCAGCAGAGCTGCTTGGAGCAGACATTGCCTCGGTTCTGCTGTGCAGCAGCGGCTGCCCGGGAGGCAGTGAGCACAGCTGTGAGCACAGCACAGGGCTGCCCCAGCGCTGACCCCCCAGGAATCTGGAGGGGGGCGGCTGTGCCTCCTCGCCAGCCTCAATCCCAGCTTTGTGCCTGTGGCATTCCTGCAGCCTCCAACCTGCCTTAACCCCCGGGGTGCCACCGCTGCACACCCCTCACCCTATGAGGCTGGGGGGCACACGAGGGTCATTGCCAGGGGTAGGGGTACCCAGGTCCCAGCAAGCTTTGACAACCCAGAAGGCGAACCTGCCCTTCAGACTTAGCCCCAAGGTGTTCTCCATGCCCCAGCTCAGTGCTAGGTGCCAGCACGGATACTCCTGTCCATCTGGGTGTAAAGAGTTTGTTTTTGCCAGCAGGCTCTGGGCTGGCTCCCCATGTCCCCCACAGTCCTGCTGGCCAGCATTGTTCCCGTGCTCTCCTCCACCTACAGGGAGGGAATGAAAAGCTCCCTGTCTCCCTGCACATCTGACCGCTGGTGGCACTGCCAGCTGCTTCTCCCACTACTTTACCCATTCCCAAAACCCCCCAGCCCCAGAACCACAGGATGGAGCAAGGCTCAGCCAGCTGTGGCAGCCTGGGCAGAGTGCTCAGACTGATTGGGACAGCAGAGGAAGGCTGCAGAAAGCCAGGAAGGAGGAGACCCTGCTAGGTTGACACTGACTCAGAGTCAACACCCCACGTAGGGACAGAGAAAACCTCAGGTGGATGCAGCCCAAACTTTCACAGCTCAAACATTTTATGATTCTCTGATTCACACCTTTTCAGTAGGATCTTCTCCCCTCCACTCCTGCAGAGCTGCCCTCTTTGTTCCCAGTGCAGGTGAGCAGGAATGCTCAGGACAGAGCATCATCAAGAAAAACAGCCCAGGAAGAGAACAGTCTCCTCCACCCCACAGCACCTCAGGCTTTGCTTCTTTATGCGCTTTCCAGCCCTTCCTTTCCCTCATCAAACATTCCTTTTCAGCCAAAGCTGACATCCTTCCCCACGTCCAAGGAAAACAAACCCATCCAAACACATCAGAGCACCTGGCAGCAGCAGCAGCCCCTTGTTTCTTATTCCAAAGGAACATTTAAAAGCAGCTCTGCAGATTGTCCCTCGCGCTCTCCTTTGGGAAACACTTTGCAATCCAAGCACTGAAGGGGAGGTAACAGCCTTCACGACACATGAGGCAACGTGGGGCCGGGGTGGGGGTCCCCACTTGCTCCATGGGCACACACACTACAGGGGCTTTTACCTGGGGCAGCGGGTGGGCAGCAGATCCACGCCGTGCCTGCTCAGCCACGCGCCACTCAGGACACCGCGGGACGACGAAGGGCCATTCCTGCATCACCAGGGGCTGCATGGGCACCGCCGCTCATGGGGACGGGGAGGACCCCGGGCACCTGGAACAGAGCAGAGCAGGCAGCCCCTCCTCACGCTGAGCCCATGTGGGGGCTGAGCACCTGCAGGTGGGTCAGCTTCTCTCTGCCATCGCAATCTTTTTTTCCTCCTGACTCGACAGCCAATTCCTTTTTCCCCCCACTTCTTCGCACCTCATTATGTAATTTGCCATCCTATTGGCCCACACACGACGCTACGTTTAAAAAAAGCACCGGGTTTCCCAAAGCACAGGAGATGCCTGCATGAAAAGCAGAGCAGGGAGAGCTCCCACCGCACCCAGGACAGACAATACCTTCAAACACATCATATCTTTGCTGTTGAATCCAGAAAGGAAATTTCCCAGCACCTCACTGCCTCTCCTCGCCAAACCGGTTCCCTTTTTATGCGCTTTTTATTAGGAGCCATAAAAGTCACAGTTTTATTCAATTTTTAAAACCTGTACGACCATAAAGCGATCCAGCAGCAGCCCCACAAACGCTGTGCATAGCCAAACAAACCCTCCGGCTGCTGCTGGTTTGTTTTTATTGCCTGGGGTCCGACTGAGCCAGGACGGCAGTTTGCCCCGTTGTCGACACTGCTTCCTCTTTATGCAGAGTGGATGAGAAGAGAAAGCCCAGAAAGAAGCAGTGTGAGAGGTGCAGGAGCTCGGTGCAGGGCTCAGGGCTGCCACTCCTTCTCCCCAGCCCTGTGTGCTTCCCCTGCCTTCCCCCTCCGCTGCATACATTCAGAGAACAGCTTATCCTCTGATGTTTTTTTTAATCCCTTCACAATTTCTGCTGCCACAATTCTCCCCATCTCCAGCAGAGCAGCCCGCGCTGAGCTCTCCAATGCACACATAATGCAGAGTCCATCCTCTTCCCTTCCTGCCACTTGCACAAATGAGCATCACAGAATGCACACGGCAGCACCTTGCCCTGCTGCCTTCCCCAGCGCAGACACATCACAGCTCCAAATGCCTTCGGGGCCTCGTTGGGTAAACTCACCCATGGACAGGAGACAAAGGACATCCCCTATTGCCAGAATAGCAGAGCTGGCAGGGGCTGAGCTGGCCCTCAGCCTCCTGTACACTTCATGGATGAGAATTTCATCTCTTGGATGTGATTCTCAGGGCGCAAAAAGAGATTTTGCCTCAAATTGCCTCCGTGGAATCCTGCTGAGCTCCAAGTGGGAAATTCATGGCTTTGGGTAATGAGGTTCCGCGACATCTCCCAACAGCCACCAGCCTGCAAGCACCTCAGCTTTCCACCAGCATGGAACTGCTTTTTGCTCAAGGATAAATCTCTGTGGCTGGGGTTGGTGCTGCTCTGCCCTCTGGGTGTGAGGCAGGCAGCTCTCTGCTCTGCACCTCCTGGCTGTGGGGCTCCTCGCCTCCCTGGACCAAGGCATGGTCCCATCAGACACAGAGCCACAGCACGAGGGAACAAGAGTCCATCCCAGGCAGCTGCTGACATCCGTGCGTGGAGAACCCAAGAGAATCTGGAAATAACCCAACTGTACAGCAGCCAGCACAGAGCCACACATTCAAGGGGAGAGACAAGCAGACGGCAAGGCAAGGCTGAGAGCAAACCAGTGCGTGAGCCCTTGCCAAATCCCAGCTCCTGCAGAAGGAGAAATATTCCTGCTCTGCTCTGCCTCTGTGCCATAGTGCTGCAGCCCAGCACTGTGTTCAGGCCCTGCAGCACACAGACCAGGTGTCTTGGGGATGTTCCTGGGCTGCACGGCCATTGCTGGCTGTGGCTGCTCACCAACAGGAGCTGGGTCCCACCTCACCATGTCGCAGCCAGGTGTTAGCGACAAAAATGTGGGTGATGAAAGCAGCCTGGCTGAAAGCACATGCAGGCACTGGGAGGGAAGGCAGAAAGCACATTCTGGGAGCTGGAGCAGGTTTGGGATGTAAGAACAGAGCCTCAGTCCTTGCAGAAGCACAAGAGGACAGCAAGGAGCTCCTCCAGCCTGGGGCACTGTTTAAAACCCTCCTGACAGAAACCCAGCCCCAAGCTGTCCCCAGAACCTGGGAATCCCCACCATGGTTTGCACTGCAGCCTCCCCATATCTCTGTGGGCAGCCCCAGGATGGGGACTCATCTGGAAGCCAGAATCCCATGTGGGTGTTGGATTTGCAGTTCTCTCTACATAAAAGAGCAGCA